GAATACTAAGTTCAGTTTCTCTCTTTCAAGCCTCAAATTCTTTGTTCAAAGGCAGATTCAACTTAAATTTGAAAGACTAGAATGCCCATGTCTCAAGCAAAGCAGGCTTTCTTACAAGGTCCCAACAGGCAGTGTAAGCAATTATTAAATTTGCAGACAAGCTGTGGCTTCAAGGAGATCATTGGAGCAGGGACTCCCCTTTCTGCCAGGGCGAGCCTAGGGCAGGTCTTAGAGGAGGTGAAAACTTACCAGGCAGAGAAGCTCAGGTGGCAATAGAGTTATTGTCTTACTCTGCCTGGTTAGTCTACACACAGCAGAGAGTATCACACTGAAAGACAAAATGCCTTCATCTCCAGCACATGATTCTCCCACCTCATGGATGAACTGTGTACCTGTATATGATTTTTTATAATGATTTCAAAGCAAAGGAAACAAAACTAACACGAATAGTTGGATACAGATTCCTAATCAACAGAGGAAGAGTAAGGTCTTGAGGATTCAGAAAAGTCAGGTGTGTAAACATACCTGGCTCCCTCAGAGAACCTCTCTGCTCGGACGATGAAACACATGCATGAGCCTCCCCGACCCCGCTGTGCACCGGGAGTCATCCTCTTGTGGGTAAAACATTGTAGTTGTTCCCAAGAGACGGACATATTTAATCCCAGGGGCCTGAGGGGCAGGAATCCCCTCCAGATCACCTAGGATTGGGGGTGTCCTCAATGGCGGGTCAATCTCAGTTTTCTGACAGTGATGTCACCGGATCTTTAATCAGGATGTACCTCCATTTGTGTCCATGGAGGGAGGAGGCCTCTGTGTGTGTCTGAGCTTCGACAAAACAGCGTGGGTTTGGGCTGTTTGGATCCACAAAGTGTACAGCACACATGCCCACAATGTGGGAGAGTCTCTTACTCCCCACCTCTGACAGGACGCAGACTCAGAAGTGCCCCCTGCAACACTGCCTTCCCACATCACACTCATGCTTCCAGTGTCATTGAACCCAAACCAATCTCCTCCTACCACACACACAAAACTACAGCAACACCCACCTGTGTAAGATTGTTTCTCATTCAGCTGCTGATGGTCAAGTATAGAGACACAGAGAGCAGCTCTGTAACCCCCCCCAGCCCCCCCTCACATGTCCCTTCACCAGATGTTATTATTTTGTGTTCAGGCTGCAATGACTTGACTTGGCTAGTGGGCAGTTTGGGTGTCCAGGGCACAGGATGGCCTGATAGAATTAAGAGCATCACACTTTCTGTCTACAGAGAGTATAGGAAAGACATGCAGCCTGGGTGACCAATTCTATAGCACGTTACGTGTGTGGTGTATTTAAGGGAAACAGATTATGTGATAAAACGACAGCCCGAATCAAAGACTCTTACAGATTTTACATTAATTTTGTAGAAAATAACAAACTGCAGGAAACTGAAGCATCCTAAAGACTGCTTTGTAAGAGTAGCCTTTTCAAGCATTGATTTGTAACAAAAGAAAACACACGTTTCTCACTGTTACTCTTTTTCTCACAGTCCAAGTTTCCAATTTGGGTGATTCGTCTCCAAGCCTGCCAGAACAAAGCCCCACAAAGCTGTGGGTCAAAAGGGCAGCATTCTCCAGTGCTGGAGCTCTGGGGGCAAGAAGTCTGAAATCAATGCTGTGGAGCAGCTCTCACCCAGCACCCAGGTCCCTAGTGAGCATCTTCGATGCAAGTCCATAGAAATGTCCACTTGAAGGGAGTGAATCCTGTTTCTCTTGTTCCAACACACAGAACCTACTTTTAAACTGTGAACTCATGGCTGTGGCTGCATAAAATACGTGACAGGAAAGAGTAGATGTGGGAAGAGATTTTCCATAACTATGTAGAAAAAACTAATTTAAAATTATTACTTGGTCCTTTTGTTCTATTATATTCACTACCAGAAACATACATTTCTTTTGCCCTTTCCTCTTGTCTTCAACAGAGCTAGATACCAGTGGAGAACAATTTTGCACTGCTGGTGGGAATGCAAACTGGTGCAGCCACTGTGGAAAACAGTATGGAGGTTCCTCAAAGAATTAAAAATAGAGCTGGGGTAAGACTGAGCACTTACACCTCTATGTATTTATCCAAAGAATGCAAAAATGCTGATGTGAAGGGGCACGTGCATCCCAGTGTTTATAGCAGTGCTATCAGTAGTAGCCAAACTATGGAAAGAGCCTAAATGTCCATCGACTATTGAATGGTTAACGAACTGTGGCATATATATATATATATATATATATACAGTGGAACAACATAGATGGAAGTAGAGTGTATTCTGCTAAGCATAGTAAGTCAGTCAGATAAAGACAAATCTCATATGACTTCACTCATATGTGGAATTTAAGAAACAAAACAAATGAACCTAGGGCAAGGGAGAGAAAATTAAGATAAGAACATGGATGGAGGTAAGCCATAAGTGACTCTTAATTGTAGAGAACAAATTGAGGGTTGCTGGAGGGGCATTGAGTGGGGGACAGGCTAAATGAGTGATGGGCATTAAGGAGGGCACTGGCTGGGATTAGCAATAGGTTTTATATGAAGAGATGAAAGCATAAATTCTACTCTTGAAACCATTATAACGCTGTTTGTTCACTACCTTGCGTTTAAATTTAAAAATCATTGGGGGCGCCTGGGTGGCTCAGTTGGCTAAGCATCTGACTTCAGCTTAGGTCATGGTCTCCTGTTTCATGAGGTCAAGCCCCACATCGGGCTCTGTGCTGACAGCTCAGAGTCTGGAGTCACAGTTCAGATTCTGTCTATTCCTCTCTCTCTGCCTCTCCCCCTGCTTGCAGTCTGCCTTTCTCTCTTTCAAAAATAAAAACTTTTAAAAATAATTTTAAATTAACAATAAAATAAATCTTAAAATAAGTAAAGCAAAGTCTTTTTTTAATCAGAGAAAAATTCTTACAGTATTTTGAATTTTCTAACAGATTATGAGATAAAATAACCAGTTAAAATGGCAGACTTTTAAGGGAGGAATAAATTAATTTTATAGAAAGTAGCAATATTTTATGAAATTCATGCATTTTAAAATATTTTGTAAGAACATTTTAAGAATCAGGGGCGCCTGGGTGGCTTAGTCGGTTAAGCGTCCGACTTTCGCTTAGGTCATGATCTCGCGGTTCGTGTGTTTGAGCCCCGCGTCGGGCTCTGTGCTTACTGCCAGCTCAGAGCCTGGAGCCTGTTTTAGAGTCTGTGACTCCCTCTCTCTCTGACCCTCCCCTGCTCACGCTGTCTCTCTCTCTCCTAGAAATAAATAAAAATATAAAAAAAAAAAAGAACATTTTAAGAATCAATGTGTATTTAAGAATACATTAAAAGAAAGCATGATGGGTTTCTTGCTGTTAGTCTTTTCCCTAGAAATTAGGTTTCCATACTGGAGAGTAGGTAAAACCGATTAATTTATACCTTTACAGAATGACGCTTTAAAACTAGGTGAAGGTATATAATATTGTTCTTTTTCTGTTTTTATCTTTGTTTTCATGTTCAATGCCATTTTTTTCTTGCTCACCTGCATATATTTTTTGACTTCTTACTCCAGGATGGTAAATTAGGAGCCCGATATTTTCTGAAGTAAAACCCATATTGAAATAGTAGCATAATAAACAAAAGTCAAAGACACACAGAAGTTCCAAAAGGTAATGAAAGAAAAAAGGTAAATGAAATTGTTAGTCGTGAAATAGGAGACACTTATTGTATTCCTGTCTCCTTACCATCATGTGTCACTGGCCACCCAGATTCTTACCATAGAGCTCAACAGTGAAAACCGTGTATCATTTTTACCGAATCATATTTTACAACGCTGTTAAAAATTCTTATTTTCGAGGATTGTGCAGAAGATAGTCTAGCCAAGCTCTCTTCTAGAAGCTTATGGAGATCAGTGTCTATTTGTTTGTGTTCTTTGGCAGGTAAGTCTGACTTGGGGTTAGTTACACAAGATGACCTCTAGCCACAGACTCTACTTTTCCATCACTCTAGGCTGGTTTCTTTGTTTTGTTTTGGGTAACAAAGGACGGTGACTCCTTTGCTCGTGGATGAATTTAAAATCAGCTCCATTTTCCACGAGCTGTTCAATCCATCCTGACTCACTTCACTGACAAGGGACAGAGACTCAGGTGCCTCTCCTACTTGAATGCCCCGCGGCAGGGTATCCGGCTTGCCCTGAGCAGTGGCATCTTTGGGGGGGAAAGGCAGGGAAACATCAGTCACAGGAAAGGGTTACCCCAGGACGTACAACAGTGTCTCCAGTTCTTGCTCTTCTCACATACAAATCTCCTTGAACTCTACGTTCATGGCCATGGCCGTGACTCATTCAGGTCGGGGAGAGACTCAGGTTTTCACACAGAAGGAACGAGAACCTGGAAGGCCTGACAGAACCTGTCCTCCATGATGAGAAAGACTGTACGAGAAGAGATTTCTAACCACCACACAGAAAACACAGTCCTTGCTTCTGTGATTCCGCTCTCTTAGGAAGCCTTCCGTGAAGAAATTCCTTTGGTTTCTCTGGTACGTGTGAGGCAAGTATGATGGGAGGTACACCCGTCAGTGGATGTCCAGGATTTTATATTCACTGCCTGGTGCATGAATCTTCCCTGTCCTCCTCTGACATGAATCGGGCTGTTAGCTCTCTATACGGAGGACACGGCCTGGTTTCCCTGTCAAGGCCTCTCTCTCCCAGAGTGCTTTCATGGTGCTTACCTCCCCACATGACCTACAATGGTGGTTCTACACTTGCGTTTCACTTCTGAACCCGTTACCCTGGGGACCACAGAGAGCTGACCACACTTGAAGGAGCAGAACACCCTCTGCTGGAGGAAACACCCTCTTGATCACCAGCAGCGTTGATGGAAACTATTTTGTCTGTAGATGAGCTGGCAGGAAGCCAAGAAGATGGCCCTTCACTTCCCAGTGGTTGAACCGAACTAGACACACATGTCCACATAATCAGTGTCTCTCTCCTTCCTAGAGAGTCAAGGCCAGTGCTCGGGTCCTCACCGCAGACCCAGATTTCCATGATCAGATCTTACTTCACACTCTGCAGGCAGAACAACTGTGTCTTTAGTGCTTTTCCTCCAACCCCACAACATGATTATGTGAATTTGTTCACATGATAAAGGCTGTACCCTCTGTTGGCTCTTTCAAATCTGCTGCAGCCACAGGACATTTGCATAGTGTCCCTAGGGAGGACCTTCCCTTGCAAGTCTGAGATAAAAGGTCACCTCTAAAATGGTCTTGACTTATGAGAGCTCATCAGTTCAACTTCACAAAATGAAATTCCCTGCTCAGCTCTTGGGGCTCTTCATGCTCTGGATCCCAGGTGAGTGCAGAGGGGGGATGAGAGAGGAGAATGGGGTGTGGAGGGTGAGCGAGAGTGACCCCACTGCTCCCCATGTGTACTCTGACCATACATGGTCATGCTCCAAGGAAGAGAACTTGATCTTATGAGATTTAGGAACCACCTAAAATGAACAATGACCAGTGTCGGATGAAGACTTTAAAAGAATGAATCACCTGTGCCTTGTAAATATTACTGTTTTTATTATGATGTGGGTCATTTTCTTTTTCAAACTAATTAACCTGAAGTAATTAACAAAAGGAAAATCACGAAAATGGCTTGTAAGGTCTGTATGCATCCTTGAACTTCTCTCTCATTATTTTAGGATCCAGTGGAGATATTGTGATGACACAGAGCCCTCTGTCCCTGCCCATCACCCCTGGACAGCCGGCCTCCATCTCCTGCAGGGCCAGTCAGAGCCTCGTGCACAGTAATGGAAACACCTATTTAAACTGGTACCAGCAGAAGCCAGGCCAGTCTCCACGGCTCCTCATCTATTATGCTTCCAATCGGGCCTCTGGGGTCCCTGATAGGTTCAGTGGCAGCGGGTCAGGGACAGATTTCACCCTGAGAATCAGCAGGGTGGAGGCTGAGGACGTCAGGGTTTATTACTGCCAGCAAGCTCTACAAACTCCTCCCACGGTGATTAAACATAGAACAAAAACCTGCCTGGCTGGGGATTTCAACTGCCCCAAAGTGTTGCTTGTCTGGGTGGCCCACAGCAGGTTGTCGGAGTGTGTGTAAGCGGAAGATGTTGGACACCCCAGGGAACTAGGTCGCGGCTGAGGGCCCCGCACCACGAGGACTTTGGCTCCCCTCGGGCACCATGTGCTAAGGCCCCATCAGGTGCCACAGCCTTAGGATGGCAGAAGCGGTCCTGGGATGGGTCTGTGGTCTTACGTTTCTTTTTTGGGTGTGTTGTTAGGGATGGAAGTAGGCCTCCCAGGCCGGGGATTTTTGGCTTCGGGTAGCCCCGCCCCCCACTGTTTTCCAGGATGGCGAAAGTGTTTATACTCCATCACCTACGTGTACATACCAGTTGCTATAAGTGCTTTGCAATCCTTCTTATATCAGACATTTATTGTCTCCATGCTGGTAGATCCTGAAAGGGTATTGTGCTAAAAATGTACATTTCCTTGATGACCAAGATGTTGAGAAATTTTTCATGTTTATATTTTATTATCCATTCAGATATCCTTTTTTTTTGAAAGTGCTTTTTTTTGCTTGTTTAAATTATATAGTATGTATACTTACATATCATCATATCATTTAATACATAATTTGCATGTTTATACATAAATATATATAGCTTGTCTCTTTCTTCTAGGGAGTTCCTTATACATTCAGAAATAAACTTTTCTCATACTGGAGAAACCGCTCCTGCTTCACGGCATGTCTGTATTTAGCTCAGGTCATAATCTCTCCGTTCACGAGTTTGAGCCACGTGACTGGCTCTGTACTGACAGCTCCGAGCCTGGACCTGCTTCATATTCTGTGTCTCCCTCTTTCCACTCCACCCACCCCCAACATTATGTGTCTCCAAAATGAATTAAAACAAAAAATTAAAAATATATTAAAACTCCTTTCCCACCTTTAGAGACCAAAGGTACTCTCCTATACTTTCTTCAAGAAGCATAATTACTTTACTGGTTATGTGTAGAAATATGATCTTCCATTAACTCATGTTTTTGCATAATGTGAGATGGGCCAAGGCATTTATTCCCATTTCTATAATTTATTAAAAAGGAAAAATGACCAATAATCTACCTTCCTTCCTTTGTTAGAAATCAAGGGACAGTGTACATGTGGGCCATTCCCTGGATTCCTGTTTTGTTCTATTTGTTTGCCTATCTTTATACCTCATATACACTACAGTGTATTAGTCAGCTTTATAAGAACTTTTAAACCTCATATTATTAGTTTTCTGACTTTATTTTACTTCCTAGGAGTTCCTTGGATATTGTAGGTCATATAAATTTGACCTAAATTAGAATATCATTTTCTTTAATTTTGGGGAAAAAAAGTCCTTGGGGATTTTAATGGATTACATTCAATATTTATATCAATTTGGAAAAAGTTGACACTTAATAATATTGAGTCCTTTATTAACATACAAAATGTCTTATATACCAAAATCTTCTCTAACCTGCTATCGGTACTATATATGTTTTTATTTATTTATTTTGAAAGAGAGAAGAGAGAGAAAGCAATAGAACCTGAATGAATTTATTTTGAAAGAGAGAGGGAGAGAGAAAATCCCAAGCAGGTTTTGGCTGTCAGTGCAGAGCCCCATGTGGGGCTGGTTCCCATGAACCGGGAAATCATAGCCAGATCCAAAACCAAGCTTGGGACGCTTAAGTGTCTGAGCCACCCAGGCACCTGAGATATTGTATAGATTGATATTGAATCCACAGCCTTTACTAAAATATTTCTAGGGTTTTCTTTCCAATTTTTAAAGATTTATACACACAATTTGTTAGCATAAGTAAAGCTAGTGTAATGGAACACATTTTACACGTTTTTACATTACAAAGATGAAATGTAGAGAGAGATACCACTGCATCCTATTTCTTGTCTTTTTTCTTTATTCCTTTGTAACCTCAGGTATTTATGGCGACCTTATGTTTGACTGAGTGTCCAGTCTCTGTCTGGAGCTCCTGGATAGAGAATCCTCATTACCCACAAAGCCAATGAGAATGTCAAGGACACTCATGGGAAAACATATTTGAACTGGTTCCAACAGAAAAGGAGAAAACCTAAGCACCTCATCTACCAGATTTCTCAGCTACAGCCTGGGATCCTGGGACAGTTCAGTGGCAGGTAGTCTGACAGGGGTTTCCCACGCACCATCAGCAGCCAGGAGGCTGAAGTGCCACCATCTTCCTTCCCTCCTCCCACAGTGTTGCAGTCCCCAACACACACTCCACAAAACCCACCTCCATGAGACTCCATGCTCAGTTGCTTCCCCTGCTCTGGGCCCTTCCTGTCGTGTCTCAATCACTGACTTGATTAATCTGTGACTATTAAATTGAAACAAAAACCAAACCCCAAAACCCCAGGGCTAGAAACCAACTGTGCTGAGCTTTAGTCAAGCACCATCCAGTGCCATTTCAATAATCTTGGAAATAAATAAATAATGTCTTGCATTTAGTTTCAGAAGCATGAAGATAGAAAAACATGTCTTGTCTTGAAAGAAGTCATGAGATGAGGTATTAGTAAATCACACTTGAAAGATGATAAACACATTTTATCCATTTTAAACCAAACCTGGTTACATATGAGTCTTTTTTCTTTATTAAGTGAAAGATTTATTGAGGAGATGAATCATGTGTGTTCCCTACAGACTCTGGTCTAGTGATGGATGTCATAGCATCAACTTCTTGAGTGACAGTGAAGAGTCTCACAGCCCAGACTCAGGACCCCACATCAGAAAAACCTGACAGTTGCTATATCACCACAGAGCCATTAGATGGCAGACAGACCCCACAGTAAACCAAAGAAACATAGTCCTGATCCTAAAATACAGAGAGCAAGAGTGATACTGTCCAGTTATCCCCCAGGAGCTCCGAAGGCTGAATGGGTCTCAGGTGTGATGGGGACACTGGGAGGAGCGGCCTGTGTGCCAGGGGTGGGGGTGAGGTTGGAGAAAACCCCTTGCGTGGCTGTGCTCCATGCCCACGTGGCCTTGCTCCATCCCCTCTGTGTGGCTGTGTCTCAGAGCACTTCCCTCCCTTCTTGGAGCAGGATCAGCTTCAGCAGGAACCTCGGGGACGTGGGAACCCCAGCTTTGCTCCTTTCCTTCCTGCAGACCTGACTCTGGTGGGAAAAGAAGACTCAGGCTTAATCCTCAGTTTGTTTGCATTGAATTTGGACATTCCGGGGCGCCTGGGTGGCTCAGTCGGTTAAGCATCTGACTTCGGTTCAGGTCATGATTTCACAATTTGTGGGTTCGAGCCACGCCTCAGGCTCTGTGCTGACAGCTCAGAGCCTGGAGTCTGTTTCGGATTCTGTGTCTCCCTCGCTCTCTGTCCCTCCCCCACTCATGCTCTGTCTCTCTCTGCCTGAAAAATTAAAAAAGAAAACTATTTTTTAAAAAAAAAAAGAATAGCGGTTCATTATTTCCCATGATTCCGGGGGTGCCTGGGTGGTCTCTCTGCTGGTTTGCCAGGGCTCACTCATACAGCTGTGGGCAGCTGTAAGGTCAGCAGGCCTGAAAGACCCAAACTGGTCTCTCCCCATAGTGACCAGGTGATGCTACTTGTTGCCTGGGGAGCCTTGAGTCTCCTCTTAGTCACATACAAGGGCAGGTGTGGCTAGAGACCTCCACCCCCACGTGCAGGCTCTAGGGAGTGAATTCACTCTAGAAATTTATAAATTAATAGCAATGTGACTTTTAATATCACCATCCACTGGCAATTGTGAACAATGTCAATGACAAGACCCTCTGCCCACAGGAAGGACCACTCCATTCCCGACAGCACACTCCCTGCCACACCACTGGATGGCCTACTCACATGATTGGTTGTTGGTACTGGTTGCTGGCTGGGTGCCTCAGTGGTCCGTCCATGTGGCCTCTCATCGGCCATGAGTTTGGCCAGCTTTCTTGCATCTAAGGTGGAGGGTGAAAGCTGCAAGGCCTCTCAAAGCCCAGACACCAAAACTGGTCCAGATCCCCTTTCACCACATGCTGTTTGACACAGCACATCACAGGATGCACTTGGATTCAAGAAATCAAGAAATAGACTCTACAGTCAAAAGGAAATCAACTCTTCTCTCAATGGGACAAACATGTGGCAGTGATCTGATCTACTATTCGTGTCTTCAATTACAAGTTTAACAACAACAAAGAGAAGAATGGCTGTGATGTGTATTTAATACTTATTATGTGCAGTAATGGAGCTAAGTCTTGATATGAGATGTTTTATTTGCATCTTCCAGTTGAAGACTATGAGGCAGAGAGGTTATGAGATGTGTCCACATTCATTCAGACAGTAACTCAGGATACTAATCAGAAAATCTGATTCATGAAGGGCATTGGGTGGTGTGACCCCCCAGAGGAATTCTGCACAGCTGACTGATTTGAAAAATTCTTTGAGAAGCACTAGCACTGGTGGTGGATAGTCCTATAATAAATAATCTGAAACCACAGATATATCCCAAATCTGACCCCCTCATACTGCTCCCACTGCCTAACCTGGTGCAAGCCTCCATCATCTTTCCCCTGGGGCAGGGCTGCTCCCTCCACAAACGTGGTCAGCTTCTCCCCTAGTCCACCTGCAGTCTGTTCTCAGTCAGCAACGTTCCCTCACATCTGCTGCTGACACAAGTTTGTTGGTCAGGTAGCGTGACGCTGAATGAGGACTTTCTGAGGCACAGACGGAGGTGCTGACAGTAGCATGGTAGACAAGGATGGCAACCAGTAGCCAGACTTAGGTTCTACTGTAGAGACGACAATTGGCTGTCCCCTTTTGTTGTGATGGAGGGGGTGTATAAAATATAGCTACTTCCAGATGGGTAGCTGGATCCCCTGGGCACTGAAGCCCTATCAGCGTTCAGGGATAGGATAAATCTTTTCCTCTGAATTGTTGTGCAATTCCCTGGTGGGGGAAATGCCGTATAAACCTCAGTTAGTGGAAGTCTGTGTTGTGGAGCCCATGCCTCACCTCCATCCTTACCACCATGGCCACCTAATGCCTGAGCCCAAGGCGCAAGCAATAGAGTGTCTGGGAAAGAGGCTAACTGCATCCCCAGAGTGGGTCATCGTGTCTGCCTGATGACTGAGAGCTTCCTGCACAGGGAGTGTGTTGTCAAGAGCATTTGCACAGGACACAAATACACTTACTCTAAGTGTCTAATCCAGAGATCCATTCATAAAACTCTCCTTTTGTGCTTCTGGTCACCAACCTCCCAGGTCATTTGATCCAACCTTCTGACCATGTGACCACACTGTTAATGACTGCCCTGGAATGTTGTAGATCTCTGATTTGGGTTCTCTCTGAAGGATAACATGGGTCACAAAACACAACTCCAGTGGTGACCACTAGATGAATTTCCTCCCACATGATCTTCCCCCAACTATGTTTAAAGTGGTCGTTAAAGTTAAAAATCTACTTTGGAGGTCTGACAGCA